GTTTCTACAGTTTTTTTTCTGTAAAAACAATTTTCAAAGTCATAGTTACCATTTAAAATCGCACTGAGTGATTAAGTATAAATAAATAGATCATCAGGTACACGGAAAGCAAAGTTCGAGGAAAAAAATTTTTTTTTCGATATTTTATAGACTATTCGATAGAGAATTTCATGGTAAGCAATAAGATGTGTATTTTGAAGTTTTTCGAAGCTTTCTTCCATTCGAAAAATCGAAAAAACTCGACAGATTTGACAAATTCAATTTTCCACCTTTTCTCAGTAAATTTCAGTTTTTAAATGTTTTCTGTCACCTCAGATTATTCTCATTGACATATTCTTATTCAGCTTTGAAAACTGAATGAGAATATTGATCAAAATCATTATAGACGAAAACGGCCATTCGCCAAACCCGTCAAAATCAAAGTCACCAAAATCCGGCCAAAAACTCGTCAACTATTTTTTCCTAGGTACTAGAATCAATATTTTGACATGATTCGATTCTTAAGATGTTCCTCTTCAAAGTTATACGTGCAGTTTTTTTAAATTCCTTTCCATTGTTGAGAAAATCAACTAGTTGCAAAAGACTAAAGAATTCTACTAGTATTTCGAGGTTTTGACTACGAAAAATTGATTTTCAAAGGAAATAAACAAAATATTTGGAATTAGTATAAAAAACTGCATTGAACAACATATATTTTATCAAAAAATATTTTCCCTCAAAAATTCTACTCGTGGGGACTACAGCGCAAAAAAAGGACTGAGGGGAGTATCGTCGAGTTTTTTACATTTTTCGAATGGAACAAAGCTTCGAAAAACTTCAGAAAACATATATTCTTGCTCGCCGTGAAATACTCTATCGAATAGTCTATAAAATATCGAAAAAAAAAATTTTTTCCTCGAACTGTGCTTTCCGTACACCTTACAGAGAAACAATTAATATGAAATACTTTTGTAAGAAATTTAGTCTTAATAGAAGAAAGTAGTAGAGAATGTTGATTCTTGAGATATTAATGATAAAAATTAATCAAAAAATATGATGAATGAGTTGTAATTGAAAGATATTTCTAATTAGAATTAAAAACGTCACAATCGAAAAATTTATTGATCTGTATTAAATAGGAAATATCAAAAAAATTTTATATCTTTTCTCGAGCATTGGATAATAAATGAAAATAAGTTATTTGTATATATCTTTAAATTGAGATTCATTTTAAATTATTGATGAACAACTTCAAACACATTCTCTAACGTTTTTAAGCAATTTCGAATTTATTCATATGAAAATAATCGAACATTATGTTTTCAGAAGACTGATAAGCAAATAATTAAATATTTTTTCTAATATTGAATAAACATTAAAAAAACTCAAGATATTTGTTGATATCATTTAAATGATTATAAATTTTATTTCTTAGACACTAACAAACTATTTTAGAAAGGATATTTCATTCAAATGTGGAAATATACCATCAATTAGATATGACAAACAATTATCTTTATTTAAAATCATCGCTAACCATCAGAGCTTTTTTGCTCAAATATTAACAAATGCAAACTAATTATCTGTG